TGTCAGTCTGTATAATTCCATGGTTACCGGAGTTTTAAATAATTACGAAACCACAGGTATTTGCGCAATGTTAATTAGGCAGATTACCTTCAAAAACCTTGCTGCCGTATTTCTGATATAGTTTCTTGCAAATTTCTCAGTTTTTAATAACAATTAATTCATTTTATTATTTTTTCTGTACTCCTATAACAGCGCCAGACAACACCTCCAGAGGAATGACGCCAATTTTAAATCACCCTGTATATTTTTTAAATGGTGTATACTTACTTACGCGAGGTGGTTAGATTTACTGCCATTCATCTGCAGGAGTTGTACAAGGCAAATAGAAAATATATCCTTAAAGTTTATCTCACTCAAAATTGAAAAATGCAAAAATACACCGGGTAGCATAAGTTAACGAAAAAAATTAAAATGACCTTCACTTTAGTTGAAAGTTTGCTAGATACACAAATTTCGGGAGCAATTCTGCAACCCTGTATATCGAATTTTCGTCTTAGATTGTCTATGAAGTTTCAGCTTCAACATGAGGTAAATATCGTGAAAATCAGATCAAGAAAATCAGACCAAGGGCTATTTGGTTTATCTTTAAACTCTTGGCGTTGAAAATACCAAAAAAAAATTTTGGTCCAACTTGCAAAGAGTGGAAATTTGCAAAAACACGCACTAGCCGAAAAATAACTGCACTAAATAGCGCTTCAAAGACAAACCAAATCGTTTGAAGCAATTAGAATCTATCGAGAKCCAAGATTAGTCCAAATTTTTTCATGTAACATTTAATTTTGATATGCAGTTTGGAAACACATTGTCACTAATTCAAATACTAAATTAACTACTCAAAGACATTTACTTTGGAAATAATCACTTAATAAAATAAGTCATTGAGCTGATTCTGAGCGAAAACTGATAGTTAAAACTAGGGCTCGGAATCAAACTCGAATAACTCGAGTATTCGAATATTCGAATATTCGAAAAGCGAATAATTATGTGTAGTCATAACTCGAATATTCGAATATCCGAATATCCGAATATTCGAATATCCGAATATCCGAATATTCGAATATCCGAATATTCGAATATCCGAATATTCGAATACTCGAATACTCGAATAATCGAATACTCGAATGCACCAACATTATCAAACTCACAAGGTACAAATATCTTTATATGCACTTTGCATACTTTTATAAAATAAATTATTCACATTCTACAAGAAACAAATACCCATATATTTACAAGCAAATGAAAATAATCATATTTACTCTCCTGCAAATGAATGTAAAATTACGTCTCTGTGTTCTGGTGATACGCGTTATCAACTTTTGCGCGGTGTTACAATTAATGTGCCGACAAAGGCACTTTTTTATCCGTTGCGGCTAGTTGCCAAAAATGATTTGAGATAACGATTTTTCTTCTTGGAAAACGGTGAACGGAAAACGAACACTCGAATATCTAACGAATATTCGAATATTTAAGATCCCGATTTATTAATAATTCCATTAGATGTTGCACAGACGATAACAATGTTTTTTTATTTTATAAATTATCTTGTACTTTTCCAGTACACTTCAATAAAACCTCCAATGGAAAGATGCGACAAATGCATACAAAAAAAATTATTTCAACTAAAAATAGGTTAATAATAAGAATATAATCAAGTCAAGAAGCTAATAGCAGATAATAGAATGAAGTCATTTTTAATAGAGCAACGAAAATACAAACTTTGTAAACACAAACAAAGGAACATTTTTGACTAATCCGAAATCATAAAAAAATAAATTCGATCTTTCCATTATATAAAAAATGCGATTCTCGTGAAAACATACCTGTTTCTATAGTACTGATCAGTGCAAACATTTGTGAAAATGAAAAAACGCATTTAGAAATTAATAAAAGGGAAAAATTAAATACAATATTTGTACAATAATTTCAAGAACGCCCTGTTATAACGACCTTTTGAGTATTTTTGGAAGAAAGAATGAAGCACAGCTTATATATCATGATATTTAAGCTGTGATTGAAGTATTTTTTAGACCAACATTAGTGACGCGATAACTGGGGGATGCTCCTTTCTTTTTTCCAACCTCTACCGCCACTAGATATTTTAAAATAATAAATACATTTTAAATTTCACTGATCATTTCTAAGAAAAGTCTTATACAATTTTCTGAAGTTTTCAAGATCCGGCCCGCTCGCATCACAATTGGCAACCATAAAATCTCCTCAAAAAAATTTTACAATTACATTAAAAAGGTTTTTATTGACATTTGGATTTTAATTACGGCAACATAGGACTTATCACTTGCAAGTAGGACCTACAGGATTTTTTCCTGGTGATAAAATTTCGGGAGTACAGCAACCTTCCGCGCAACTGGCTGTTATCCAATCCATTAGTCAAAATCCGTATTTTTTACATAAAATTGGTTGAACAGATCAAGCAAATTTTACTGGGAGGGTAGTTTATACTCGCCATAATTACCACATTTGGGCTTACGAAAATCCTAGAGAAACTAATTTGTGGTCCTTACAGCACATGGGCTATCCTGCGGCAGCATGTGGTTGGGCTATCCTCTTTACTGGCACGTTTGAAATCGGAAGAATTTTTTAACTTCCTGACCAACATCTTTTTTATTTATTGAATGGTCTTTTATTGGCTACCCTCCGAAACAGCTGGTTTCTTTTAATGTGCTGCGACACCGTAAATACCTGTAAACATTTAATTGAGCGAATGGAAGTAAGCAGATATTGGAGGAGATTAATTCGATTGCAAAATAAGCTCAAAGATGTGTTGAAGTTGGATGTTACCATTATGAGAATTTAATTTAATATAATCTGTATGTTTTAAATTGTTAATAGTCTTAGTCAAGTAACTGGTACTTGACTAAGACACTTTCCTTTGTGGTTTAAAATTGTAATGCGAGCTGACCGGACCCGGAACTTTTCACTTTAAACTCTCAGAAATAAAAATATTATATCTCAGGATAAAAACATTTTTACGAGAAGTTGTTGGCTTGAAAATGATTAGAAAATTAAAAAATGAGTAGTATTTTAAAATATTTAGCGGTATTACAGGTAGGAGCAAAACAGGGCGAGCCCCCAGTCAATGCGCCACTGATGTTGAAGTCAAAAACTATTTCAGTCATTATGGAAACAATCTATTCCAGTACGATGTGTACAAAATGCGATGCAAATGAAATGAATGGTTTGAAAAATTTGATAAAAATTGCAATTTTTTTCAAACTTCAAAAGTTTTTCAATTATTTTTATTTCCTGTGCTTTTTTATCTATTAAAATTAGCGACGTTTAACCTGAACCACGCTGTATACTACAGACATTATAAACCATGATTACTTTTATAACTTTTCGACTAAATCGCCTAATTAGCGAGTATATGAGATTTTTTTTGCAGGAATGTGTATAGACGAGAGTAGTGAGCCTCCACATCTTCCAGAAAACCTATCGGTTTCAGCCTCTAAACAGGGCGTGAATTTTGACTTAAAAGACAGTCCCGTTTTGAGGCTGAAACAGCCCCCAGCTGGCAGTTATTCATTGCACAGCACTCCATCGAATTCACCATTATTGAATCAACGACATCCAGGTACTGGAGTGCCAATTATTAGCCATAAGGTAAGTACAATCCCGATCCACGATTGGCACATGATAATTTACTAAATTTATATTCTAGGATTTTATGCAGAAAGCTTTAAATGTACCACCAACCCCAAGTCCAGACTCGGCCGTCCATTCAGCTTACTCAGTGTTCAGTTCTCCTAATCAGAGTCCACTCACTCAGCGTCATGTAACTTTGACTCCCAACTTGAGCAGGAACAATTCGGATGCGTCACATTCGAGCTGTTGCAGTTATTCGAGTGTTTCCGTGTCAGTTTCGCCTACTCAACAGTTCTCACCCACTCATAGTCCAATACAGGTAAACTTTAAAAACTTTACTAGTCGTTGTTGGTATTGTTATGTCACGTTTAAGTATATTTATGCTATGAATATTCAGGATTTGTTTGATATTATTTCAATATTAAACTGGACACATTTACTTGGATGTTTCTACATTCAACGATTTCATTCCAAGGTTTAGAGAACATTTTATTTATTCGGGATACTGATTGTAACTTTACTGTTTTACTTTACTGAAATTAGTGATAAGACGAATCAAACAAGTCGATTATGGAAAGCGTTGAACTTATTCTGTTGCAAACGCAACAATGCACGCTCCACTGGTCTGATTTTTCTGGTAAGCGTAAATAACGCAAAAATGTTAAAGAGTTGTGAAAAAGGACATCACGTAAGAAAGTTGATTCTTCCCCTTTTTTCATCGCATTAGACAAACTTTAATCGGGTAATTTTTTTTATTACATACATTCTTCTGCATTTCCAGTCCATGAAGCACAAACTGAGAACCACGCGTTGTCTAACGAAGGTTTTGACCCTCTGTTAATACTTTGTATGAATTGTATTGGAGTTTTTTTAGCAAACAGATTGGGTTTTGGATTTTTTTGGCACGTAACTTCAGCAGGAATTTTTCGGGCTTCAAACTCTAAAAACTCATCAGATTAATTCAGAATCATTATTTAGCTGTATGAATGTAGACTAAGAGTAGACTGTAGAATGTACAGGGTTATTCACGCTATACGGCACGGACGTTTGCGGCTAGCCCGTTTGTTTTTTGCAAAGTATTATTTGATGAATCCACAGACGCCTATCGGGTGCACATTTTAAAAATATTTTTGTAGTGTACAGAGTGTCCCAAAAGCCCTAAAAATATCAAAGTTGTGTTTTTCTAAATGAAATACCCTATATATTATTGCATTTTTGGATTCTTTGAGCAAAATAAGTGTTTATTTTAATAAGATTTATAATGTCTAAATCTAAAGGTTTTTAAAATAATTCGAATTTTATCAAAATCTAATATTATTTTCATGTGTCAAATACTTTAGAATTATTTAAGATATGTAAACGTAATTCGTCGTGTAGTGTAACAAGAAATCACATTTTATATCCCAATGATAACAAACTTACCATTTTATACAGGGTGTCGACAAATTTAAACTAATCAAATAAGATCTTTAAGTGGCTATAACTTGATTAATTTAAATATAACCCCATGTTTTTTAGCTTACCAGGAAATGCAATTTTTAATTACCTATCGAATGGTACTAGGATGTTGATAACTAGGTTTTTGCCTTTTTACAAAATACACCAAATAATAATTCTGTGCACCATTTGGTGTTTTTTTTAAATTAAAAGGTTAAATAACATATCAACAATAACATAAAACAAAGGCAAATTATTTATAACAAATGTTCGAAATGTTGACCGGCCGTTTCCAGGCACTTGTAAATTCTTTTTCCAAAACAACTGCTAACTCTTGAAAACATTTGCGGAGTTACAGTTTTAAAAGCGTCTCTTATGCGTGTTTTCAAATCGTGTGAAGTTGTCGGAAGCGTATGGTAGACAATTGCTTTTATGTACCCCACAAAAAGAAATCTAGTGGAGTTAAATCCGGAGATCTGGGGGGCCAATTTTCATACCCATTTCTGCCAATCCACCTGTTTTGAAAGTTGGCATTTAAAAATTACCGAACTTCGCAGTGATAATGAGGCGGAGCTCCATCCGATTGAAGCCACATGTTGATTCTAATATTGAAAAGGACTTCTTCTAATAATATTGAGAGATGGTTTATTAGAAACTGGAGAAACGTCCTAGATATCCTTAGATGTCCTTCAAAAAAATAGGGTCCAATTAAATATTGGCCCAGTATTCCACTCCACACATTAACTGACCACCTATTTTGATTTTTCATGACCCTGTATGCGCGGGGATTCGTATCAGAATAATAATGAAAGTTGTGTCTATTCACGAGACCATTGTTATGAAAAGTACATTCATCACTAAATAACACATTTTCGAAAAACTTTTTATTTTCTGCCACTTTATCTAACACCCACATGCAAAACTCAGTTCGGTTTTCAGCAGTCTAAACTGACAAATAAAATAAATGATTTGACATGTGTAAATGGCATAGCCAACTTAGATACATTGGAACCTTAAATTAAACATCACCAAATGATGCACAGAACGACTATTTGACGTATTTTGTAAAAAGGCAAAACTTAGCTATTGACATCTTAATACCATTCGATAGGTAATTAAAAATTTCATTTACTGGTAAGTTAAAAAAATATGGGGTTGTATTTAAATTAATCATGTTAGAGCCACTTAAAGTTCTTATTTGTTTAGTTTAAATTTGTGGACACCCTGTATAACATGATAACTTTATTATCATTGGGATATAAAATATTATATTTTGTTGCACTTCACTATAAATTAAGCTTACATAACTTAAATACTTCTAAAGTATTTGACACGTGAAAATTAGATTAGATTTTGATTAAATTCGTATTATTTAAAAAAACMTTAAGATTTAGGTACTATRAACCTTATTAAAACAGACACTTATTTTGTTCAGCGAATCCAAAAATGCAATAATATACAGRACATTCCATTTAAAAAAACGCAACTTTGATACTTTTAGAGCCTYTGGGACACCCTGTACATTACAAAAATATTTTTAAGATGTGCGSTCGGTAGGCGTCGGACAATTCATAAAMTAATACTTTTTAAAAATCAAACGGTTTAGTCGCAAACTTCCGTGCCGTATAGCGTGAATAACCCTGTATAGTTGAGAACAGAAAAAAGCCGCTAGCTCTTCTCACTCAGTCTACAAGTGAAGCGACAACATTTCAGACTTGTAATTGTCGGAATTAACAACCATCAATGTGCAAATTCATTAACTTTGATCAAACATTCTTACATTTTGTGGACGCAGAAATTTTAGGCGTTTTGTAATATCAAAGGGACACTTAATACGAGACGCTTTATCGGGTTGCATTATATTGACTTACGCGAAGCTTGGGTGGCCAAAAGGACACAGGTAATCCACAAATAGGAATTTACTGACATTAAAATGAGAAAAATACGGGACATGGGTTGATGATGATGGGTTGGGAATGATAGAAATTGAAATAGGAGTGTACTACAAACGGTACTGCACTACCATATATTTTTTCGACGGAAAATAAGCCTATCTTCATCTGTTACGAGAGACGAAAGACTTGATCCGAAGTTTTCTTGATTTATTTTTATAACTGGGAGTGTAATGATATCAAAGATCCGACGTTTCTGACGGTGAAAGAAATGAACAAAACTTATCACATGCTCCCGTTTTAATTTATTAATATAATTCTAACATATGTTAAAATTTATCAACCAGAATAATTCGCTTTTATCAATAATAAAAACTGAAACCTTGAACAAATTTCTGCCAAAACCACGAAAATAATAACAAGTAAATTTACCAAAAGCTCAAATGCAATGAGTTACCACAGTTTTAAATACCTATAAGTTCCTGCGGTTATTGTGTTTAATTCGTTATTATATCATTAAGCAATAGCTAATTTAATTCGATCAAACTATTCGAATGATCATAACTATATTAAAAATATCTAGATTATGGAAAGATTATTCCCATCCATTGTCATCACTTTTAAGTGTTTTTAGGAGACATTTAGTTGAGAGCTTTGGGAGAATTTCGTAAAATATTTCCAGTCTTGAGTTTAAAATTGCGTGTGAGCTACAAGATAATAATGCTTGTTCTTTATCGCAAAAGAGCATGTTTCTAAATGAAACCTAGGATCCAAATATTTGTTTTTATTATATGAATCTTGCCTCTGTCATGTTATACTAAGTTGCTCTAAACTTTAGTCTAAAACTTCTTTTTGTGAAGCGTATGTTGTTTTAAAAGAATTTATTCCAATTATAACAGTTATCAAAGTTTTTTGCGTTTTTTCATAAACATAGGCGACAGGAGCCTAAACAAGAAGGAAGTAAAATATCTCTATGTTAAAGATGAAAATTTTGTAGATATTTAGACGCAAAAAATAGTTGACCAGATCCAGCTATTAAGCGACCGGAGGTTGGGGTTTTATATTTTTTGTCAGAACTCAACTAAACATATTGGGTGCATATACACATTGTTAGAACATAAAAAACGACATTAGACTTTTTTCAAAATTCAATCGAAGAAATTAAAGTTACATAGTTTTTTAATGTCACTTTTTGCAGTTTTACATTAAAATTCATAAAATTATCATCACAAAGAAGCAACACACTTTAGAACTTAGAAATAAATGGCTTTTACAGGCGCTAGACTTGAATGGGCTGAACGAATTGAAGTCTGGAGACGAAGTGAAGATGATAAAGTGTAAAATTAACTTTCTACTGCTAAAATTTGGTTCTAATGTCAATAATTCATGTCAGTTTTTATAATATATTTATTTTGCTCTCATTAAATTAAATTAAATGGGAAAGCATTCGCTTGCTTTATATTATTTATGTTGTTTGTCATTAACTTTAATATAACCACTTTATTTATATCAATGACTTCCAATACGTAATTATAAACAATAGTGCCATAGAATAAATATTTTTAAATGGGGATATTTAAATTCGAAAATGGCCTTTTAAATACATTTTTTAATCGAGTCATTTAATTTTTTCTATGTACAGCATCGAGTATTATGAATTAATTTTAAGATTGTACCAACAAAAATTGTTAACTTTTGAAGCCATGACGAGGGTCTTATGTAATCGTTTGTATTCGTGTTTTCTATAAAACACTTTTTTGCAATTTCCACCCGGATTTCATTCCTGTTTCATTGCGAAATGTCTCAGTAGTTGTTAGTGGTGAATAAGCAACTCCTAATTAGAAAAACTGCGGATGGGAGAAAAATGTTTGATTTGCATGTGAACTTTTGATCGCAAGACAAATGTAATGCTTAATTAAATGTGGATCATTAATAATTCAGTATACTGGCTATAAACAGTCTTTCAAGCGGTTATTGCCAGCAGCCAAGT